CACACACACTTTTAAAATGGCTGCTGCGCTCCTGTCTCTGCCTGTCATGTAACGACCACAGAGGTCGTTCCTGAACTCTCTGCCTGTCCTGTTACAGTTACAGAGGCCGTTGTTAACCTCTCTTTTGCAGTCTCTAGCTCCACCTGATCCACCGTGGTGGGTTCCAGTTCTGCCTTTGTGGTCTCCTGCATCGTCTGCTCCACCTTGGTGGGTTCCAGTTCCATCGGCTATGCCTTGGTGGTCCTCATCTCTGTCTGCTCGACCTTGGTGGTCCCCTGCACCATCAGCTTCACCTTGGTGGTCTTCAGCTCCATGTGCTTTGCCCTGGTGGTCATCTGCTCCGCCTTGGTGGTATTCTGCTCTGCTGTGAGATCTTCAGTCTTGTCAGCTCTGCTGCGGTGGTTCTTTTACTCCACCGTGGGGATCTTTGGTTCCGTCTGCTCTGCTGTGATGGTCTTTTGCTCCGCCATGGTGGTCTCTAGCTCTGCCAGATCTTCTGTGGTGGTCATCAGCTCCGCCCTGGTCTCCAGTTCCTTCAGCTCCACCTATGTCTCTTGCACCGCCCTGCCTCCCTGTTCCACCTCTATCTCCAGATCAGCTTCCACCTCACGGACCTGGCCCTCCGTCCCTCCCCCCTGATCCTCCTCCACTCCACCTTCTTCCGGGACTTAAGTTTTTCTTTTGGAGTGTTTGGAAGGTTTTCTGTCATAATCCCAGTTTATGTTCCCCTGTCTTGTGTTTTGAACTCTTATTTTGAAATGTATACTCCCATTGTTTCTTTCCCTCTTTGCCCTCTTCCTGTGTACAGTGTCCCTGTTTGCCTTGCTTGTTTGGATTTTCAATGTTAGTGTTTTTCTAATAAATCTGTGATTGCATTTGGATTCTCACACCATCTCGTCCCTGCTTGCATTACAGTAGGTAAGTACAAAGACCACAAGTGTAGGTATTGCACAGGCATGGGGGGTGGGGTGGGGGGGATGATACATTTTAAATCTGATCAGCCTCTCATCACAATACAGTGCCATTTTAAATGTTTTTTAGGAAGACGAGAACAAATATAGTAATTTCTAAAAGCAATAGGGGCATGCCCCCACAATTATAATGATTTGTACACCCCTCAGTATGTCACGAATCCGGTCTATGAACTTCCGTTTGTTCACCACAGGTCATTATCCACCACATTGACTCTCACACTACACAGACTGTCACACTCACCCTGGTCTTCAGTTCCCACAATCCATTTCACTCTGATTACACACACGGCTGCAGCCAATCACACACCCTACATAAGCCATGGACTTCTGGTGCGTTCAAGTCATGTCGGATAGATCGTATTTACGAGTTGAATGCACATGAACGCCACCACAAAGTCGTTATTACGAGTGGGAAACTCGAAATTTTCTTTAAGCCCCGAGTTTCCGAGTTGGGGGCGTGTCAATGAGAAACATGGCGGAATCGATGGATGGAACGTCTGTAGTTGATGGTAAATTTTTGTTTAAATTGATAGTTTAGTTGTCCTTTAAACTTAATTCTTGTTACGCAGCTGAAATCCAAGTAAAACTAAGCAGACCCTGTTGTATTTTCTTGTAATTTATTAAAAGAAGGTACACCACCATCTTGTGCCGACTAAACTGACTTGAATGCACCTGACATCGTAATTACAACTTGTCAACTCGTAAGTACGAATGTCCCAGGAGGACTTGAACGCAGCATTCCTCTCTCTCACTGCCGAGTATTGTTTAGCATTTATCACTCTTCTAGCGGTAGCTACTCTACGGAGCCAGTTCCCAGTCTAGTTCATAGTTCATAGTTTAGTCTAGTCTTGCCTTGCCTGTTTTCCTGTGTGAAGATCTTTGCCTGTGTATTTCGGATTGCCCTATCGTCTTGCCGTTTAGACTCTGTTTGCCCCTGTCTGGACTATTGTTTGTGTTTACGGATTACCCCTTTTTTCAAGCCCTCTGGATTCGGTTCGCCGATCGAAGACCCACGCTTGTCCTAGGATTACTCTTTGTCTTGCCTGTGTTGTACCTGTTTGCCATTGTTTGACCCATGCCTGTTATATGACCACGTCTTGGAAATAAAGCCTTGCACATGGATCCGCACATCTCACGTCTCGTTCGCCCCGTTACACAGTACATGCCAGATCAGGATCACTTACTTCAAAAAGTGCAATAAATGAATATGGCTCAAACGAAAGATTTAGTGAAAAGTATTGTAAAAATTGGAGACTCATATTGAAGACTCCTATTCAGCAATAACTAAAAAAACAGAAATTCCGTATCCATATTTCCTAAAAAATTATATCACTGGAGACACTGATGGCTGGGATTGAAGGATTTAATATAATATAAGTTTTGGTGCTTATTAGTGTTGCTTTCGTCAACGAAAATTATGAATAAATATCGTCATCAACGAACCTTTATCACGTGACGAAAACGTCTATACTACTAGGTACTTATACTATATTGACTAGGTTAAATAGAATTGCATTACTAAAAAGAGACTAAACATCAGTTTTCGTCGACTAAAACTAGACTAAATGTCATCAGTTTTCGTCGACTAAAACTAGACTAAATGTCATCAGTTTGCTCAGTCATGCTCAGACTTTTAGTTGACTAAAACTTGACTAGACTAAAAAGAGTATGAACGTGACTAAAACTAATAAAAACTAAAATGACAGTTTCACACAAAGACTAGACTAAAACTAAAATTAAAACAGTCCTTATAAGGACTGCAACACTAGTGCTTATAAGGACTTTTTTTGAGCAAAATGTAAAAACACAAGTGCCACATCCTGTCTCTCTTGAAAGGGAAATTATGCTAGTTCTGCTGCACACAAGAGATAAATCTTCGGATAAGTTCGGATAATATCAGTACCAGAGGTTTATTACAAATAAAAATGGCCAAAAATCTAAAGTACTATATAGGATTCCCATATTTAGCACATATTTGTACTTAATATGTGCTGTTTCGGTGTGAGGATCAGAAACAGTTGCTTCTTAGCAACTTGTGGGCACTGAACCACAAGAGGTGCACATACCAGATCAATCCAGAAGCACAGAACAAGAATGTTCAACCAGTTAAATATATCTTGCCTAAAAATGCAAGTCTTTTAAAAATTATTATTATGTATTTATTTGTTTGTTTTTGGTTGTGTTATCACATTAACAGTGGAAATGCAACATGATTTATCTTGGTTTCATTGTTGAAATTAGGGTTTTACAGCTGTTGCATACAGTAACTATCAACTCTATTTCATGCAGCTATATACATTATGTACAAATATAAGTAGGTATAAAATAAAAGTATATACTATAGGTATATCAATGATCTAAAATACTACAAATAATACTTGTTAAGCCAACAGTGACACATGCTTACAAAGCTGTTACAGAAGAAAAGAAACTTTGTGGTTAAAAGCAATGTACCGGATTGTGGTTAAGAAGTCAAGCTCACATGCAAATATTCACACAATGAATTTTGGTGACATTACACAACACACATTAGACAACAACACTGGAGAGTAAATAGCTGGCTTTGAATAAAACACCTTACAGCTACAGTATTCTTATTGCTTTTTCAGGGAATGTTTGTTGTGGGTTTAGAAGTTCAACATGGAGACTGCAGATTGCTGGTATTATAAAACACCCCCAAGATATGCAGGTAAGCTACATTTTCTACATACAGCAAACAGTGCTTATTGTACAGTATGTTTGAGTACTTTTATGCACTTGTATACGTTTGTATCTTATTTTAATTAGCTTGTAAGTACAACTTAAAAGGACAGAACTCTCACCTGCAAGTCTATTGCAGTGTTTCCTGCCCTTTCAAAAAGCTAAATTTGAAATTTATTATTGAAACACTGTAACAAATTGACCAAAATTCAGTGAAAAGGAGAAAAGGAAAAAACACTGTCATTATGTCAATAAATATGGATCTGACATGGGCTATAGGCCTATATATGTTGTTTACATGTAAAGATGTACATTTGCAGTATGATTTAAAAAGGTGCTGTAATTTTGTATTTAAATAAGATAAATTCATAGATAAATATGGATAAATAGATAAATAATTTACATGAAGTTACAGCGAGATATAGTTCATGTATCCCAGCATTTCTATACAAAATGGTTTTCAAAATGGCCCATTTTGTATTTATGCAATGTGAACTTTGAGTTTGTTTGTATTTGGAAATATGATGTTTATTGGCCTCACGGTACATCATCTTCCAGCATCGTTGAACCAAAACCCCCTTATAACTACCTACAAGCTATTACTTGTGTGTGAGAAATGCTGTAGCTCTTGTTTTAGGAAAGGCCACACCTGAGTGACTGTTTTATATCTTCATGCAGAATCCGAGAGAACATTTCACTCACCTGAGCTGAGAATTGTGCTGCTGGGTGTTTCTGGTGTTGGAAAGAGTGCAACAGGAAATTTAATACTGGGCAGAAAGGCTTTTAAAGAGACCAGAACCAGAGTGAGTGAGATACAGAGAGGAAGAGTAGAGGACAGAATCATCTCAGTCATTGACACTCCGGGATTCTTCACCACTGAACTGACTGATGAAGAACTGCATCATGAAATGATAAGGAGTGCTTCTCTCTGTCACCCTGGTCCTCATGTGTTTCTGCTGATGATCAACCTGGAGAGCATGAAAGAGGGGGAGAGGAACCTTATGAAACAAATTGAGGAGAACTTTGGACCACAGGCTTTTAAGTTCACCCTTGTTCTGTTCATTGGAAGAGAACGAATGTCCAGCAAAGAATGGATGGTCTTTATGCTTAGTACAAAATTTCAGGAGCTAGTCAGACACTGCAGAGATAAATATCATGCAATCAACAGTATAAATGAAATTAACCGAACTCACATCTCAAAGCTTCTACAGAAGATTGATGAAATAGTCAAACAGAATTATGACCAGCATTACAATACTGACGTTTACTTAAAGTCCCCAACAAAGATTAAAAAAGTAATGCAAAAACCGGAAGAAAAAAGGAGGACCCAAGAAAACGCAAAGAAAGAGACAAAACAAGAGCAAGTAAAACCGTGTGGAAGACATTTAAAAGTGTAATACAGGAAAACATAACACATACTGTGATCGAACCAGAAAAGGAAACTCTAATTTCTCATGTGAGAAAAACAAAGAAAACTCATGAAGATGAAGAATGGGTTTTTCAAGAATGCAAGAATGTTAAAGTGGGTGATAGTGGATCATTAGTAAGATCAGTGAAATTCTCATATGAACAAATGGCAGAAGTAAATGTGATCCAGAAACAAACAGAAAGCTGGAAAATAAGCAGGATAGGAAAATGGGCTCTGAGAAACACCCAAGCAGGTGAGAATCTAGAAAACTGTCTATTTTATTATTGTCTATATTTTCCTCAAATGTCCCTTTAAAATATGCCCCTTAAAGGAGTAGTTCACTTCCAGAACAAACATTTACAGATAATGTACTCACCCCCTTGTCATCTAAGATGTTCATGTCTTTTTTTCTTCAGTCGTAAAGAAATTATGTTTTTTTGAGGAAAACATTTCAGATTTCTCTCCATATAATGGACTTCTATGGTGCCCCCGAGTTTGAACTTCCAAAATGCAGCATCAAAGAGCTCTAAATGATGCCAGCTGAGGAAGAAGGGTCTTATCTAGCGAAACAATCTGTTATTTTCTAATAAAATTTATAATTTATATACTTTTTAACCTCAAATGCTTGTCTTGTCTAGCTCTGCGTGAACTCTGTTTTTTCCGGTTCATGACATCTCATTTTCTCCTCCAAATTCAAAATCGTCCTACATCGCTGTTTTTCCGTTTTTTTTTTTTTTGTAAAGGACGACCGACCTTCTTTGCATGTTCACTTTGTAAACACTGGGTCGGTGCTTCTGCAGCGATGTAGGACGATTTTGAAGTTGGAGGAGAAAATGAGATGGGATGAGATTCGACATACCCTAACTGTCATGAAAAAAACATAATTTCTTTACGACTGAAGAAAGAAAGACATGAACATCTTGGATGACAAGGGTGTGAGTACATTATCTGTACATTTTTGTTCTGGAAGTGAACTACTTTTTTAAAGTAAACCCAGGGTGCTGTTTGATAAATAATTCACTGAGACTGAGTTTTTGCCATTTTTATTTTATTTACATGCACAACTTGACATGTAAAGTTGCCTACTGTGGTGTGCTTCTGATGTTTATATTTTGCACATTTAAATATATCTTGACCCAGAACCAAAGAATTCACTACTTTGTGTATGTCACATCTATTCATAAAAACATTACTGTTGACAATCATAGGCTATGTGACACGTTATATTGACATTACTGAGGCAAATAAAGTAATTGTAATAAATTAACTTTAGAAATCTCCAATGTCTGTTGCTTGAATTCACAGTCATTGACACCATGACAGAAAAAAACTTGGACATAAAAATAGTGGGCAAATCAATTAATTATAATGCATATTGCATTTGTTTACACAAGTTATCTTCTTCAATCATGTCAGATCTCAGAATTGTGATGGTGGGGAAAACTGGAGCTGGAAAGAACGCAACAGGAAACACCATCCTGGGACAAAAAGCTTTTAAAGAAGAATTTTGTTCTGAATCTGTGACTGGAAAATGCCAACAGTATCAGCGGAGGCTAGAAGGTAGAATTATCTCAGTGATTGACACTCCAGGGGTGTGTGACACATCAATGCGTGAACAAGACCTGAAGGATGAAGTAGTGAGATGTGTAGAAATGTCTCTTCCTGGTCCTCATGTGTTTCTACTGGTCATCAGACTGGATGTGAGATTCACAGTTGAGGAGAAGAACACAGTAAAATGGATTCAGGAGAACTTTGGAGAAGATGCTTTACATTACACCATCATTCTTTTTACTAGAGGGGATCAGTTGAAAACATCTATAGAGGAGTTTCTGACAACAAACAAGCAGATGAATGAGCTAATCAAACAGTGTAAAGCTGGTTATCAGGTTTTTGATAACACAAATGAAAATCAAGCACAGGTTAGTAAGCTGTTATGGAAGATAGACACAATGGTGAAGGACAACAGACGAGAGCATTACACAAATCAGATGTACCAGGAAGCTCAAAGGAAAATCTGGGAAGAAGAAGAGAGGCAGAGAGAGGAGGACAAGAGATTAAGGCAAGAAGAGGAGATAAAAATAAGGAAGGATGAACAAAAGAGACTTGTCAAGACTGCTAAAATGGGAGCCTTGGTGGGAGCAGGTGTAGGAGGAGTGATTGGAGGTGTAGCACTGGCAGCGGGAACTGGATTGGCACTACCTGCAGCTTTAATCACAGGAGGTGCAACTCTTGCAGGAGGAGCGGGCGCAAAACTTATCGCAGATACGATTAACAGGAAGCAGAGTAAAAAATCAGCGAACAAGAAAACAGTTACAGTTATTGCGACACCTTGATTTTATGATTTTACGGGGTTTAAAACAGGAATGCAGGTACAGTAGTATCACGCAGAAGGGGTGAAGAAATCTAAAGCAGCTTAATAGCATAATAGAGTTTTATTCCAGCTTTACTTGTGGTTAATAAAAGAGTGTGAGGATCTAGACTAGAGGATATCCTTAATAATAATTCAAACTTGAAGAAATCACTGATATTAACTGTAGTAAAGTGTTCTCAATACTGTATAAGCTTAACTCTGTACACTCTTTAAAATAAAGGTTCCAAAAGAGGATTTTCATAGCATTGCAATAGAAGAACCATTTAGGGTTCCCCAAAGAATCTTTCTGTTAACAGTGCTTAAAAGAACCATTTATTTAACTTAATATAATATAATAATCTGAAGTACCTTTCCCACTACCTTTTGTGGACTGGAAAGGTTCCATGGATGTTAAAGGTTTTTCATGGAACTATTGATGGTAAAGAATCATTATTTTTAAGAATGTCTGAAATCCAGAGGCCAGTTGTTCAAAAGTAATCTGATCGGATTTTGGTCATCGAATTGGATCAAATCTTGAAAATGGGTTGTTTCTTAATTCGGGATTCTGAATTCGGATTAGATCACAAAATCCACAAAATCTTGGTTTTGACTGAGATTAAATCCTCAATTTGTGTCATTCATTTAGTAAGATTGGGATACTTTTGATCCAAAAAACAAAACAAAAAAAGATTATTTTGATCCCAGCAGAAGGA